TTTGGAATTAGTTAATTTTTCGTTTCTTCAATTTCTCTCCCATTTTTCAATACTTCGATTTTTCAATTTTTGGATACTTTAATTTTTCAGTTTTTAAAATTTTTCAATTTGGGAATTTTCAATTTTTCGACCCTGGATTTCTCGATTTTTCAAATTTTCGGTACTTTAATATCTCAATTTTTAATTTTTTTTATTTTGGGAATTTTCAGGTTTTTGAGTTTTCACTTTTTTGATTTCCTAAATTTTCAATATTTTACTTCTATTTTTCTACTTTTCGTTCTGTAGATTTTTTAATTTTGGGATTTTCCAATACTTCGATTCTTGGATTCGATTTCTCGATTATTTGCTTCCTCGATTTTTCAAATTTTAGATTTTTAAATTTTTGGTTTTTCAATTTTTCGATCTTTGTTGTTTCGATTTCTAGATTTTTGAATTTTTTGATATTGTAATTTTTCAATGTCAAAAATTTTTGAATTCTCAATTTTTCGATTTTTTGTTTTTTTGATTTCTCGATTATTTCATTTTTCGATTTTTAAATTTTAGATTTTTCAATTCTTCGATTTTTGATGCCCGTTTTCTCGATTTTTAAAATTTTTCGTGATTTTAATTTTTCAATTTTTAAAATTTTTGATTTTGGGAATTCCTAATTTACGGTTTTAAAATTTTCCGACTTAAAATGTTTCGATTTTTTCAATTTTTGGATTTTTCAAGATTTCGTAATTTACTAATTTTTCGACTTAACGATTTTGTTTTTAATTCAAAATTGTTCAATTTCTCAGTTTTTAACTTTTCGATGTTTCGATTTCGGCTTTTTGATTTGTTAATTTTTAGATTTTCGACTTTTCGATTTCAGTTTTGGAATTTTTTTAGTTTTTCGATTCTTCAGTTTTTGTTCCATTTTGAAGTTTTTCGATATTTCAGTTTTGAGATTTTTCACCATTTCTATTCATCAATTTTGACCTTTTCGATTATTCAAATTTTCGGTTTTTAAATTCTAGATATTTAAATTTTCGAGTTTGTTTCGATTTCTGCATTTTTCCATTTTTTAATTTATCGATTCTTGTTTGATTTTCAATTTTTCGTTTACTCAGTTTTTCGATATTACACTGTTGGGATTTTTCAATTTTTCAAATTTTGACGTTTCTAAATTTTTTGAATTTGGAATTTTTTGGTTTAATTGAAAAATCGAAAAAGTGAAAAAATTCAAAACTGAAATCTTGAAAAACTGAAAAACGGAAAGAAAATTGAGGATTCGGAAAAGTAAAAAAATCCAAAACTGAAACATTGAAAAATTCAGAAATGGAAAAATTAAAAAATCACAATTGAAGAAAGAATTGAAAAATCGAGAAATAGAGAAATGGGAAATTCAAAAAATCAGTTAATCGAAAAATTTAGAAACGTCAAAAATTGAAACCTGAAAAATAAAAAAAAATCGTAACACTGAAACATCGGAAAATTGAGAAATCGAAAAATGAAGAGATTCGAGAAACCGAAAATATGAAGAATCGAGATATCGAAGAATCGATAAATTGAAAAATTCCAACAGTAATATGTCGAAAAATTGAGAAATCGAAATCGGGCAAAACTGAAGTACCGTAAAGTTAATAAATTGAAAAACTGAAAATTTTTGAAAAAAAATCGTATCAAAAACTAAAAATTCAAAAAATCGAGAAATTGAACAATCAAAAAATCAAAATATTGAAATCTCAGTAAGTTGATAAATAGGAAAATTTAAAAAAACAAAAATTTTCAAAATCCAAGAATTGAACAACAAAAAAAATCAAAAAATTAAGAAATCAAATTAGACCAAAATCGAAAAATTGAAAAGTTAATAATTGAAAAATTGAAACATTTTTAATGAAAAAAAATCGGTAAACCGAAAAATTGAAAAATCTAAAAATCGAGAAATTGAACATTCCAAAAATTAAACAATTTAAAAATCGAAGAATTGGAAAACCAAAAAATCTAAACCGAGAACTTGAAAAATTGAATAATCGAGAAATCAAAACATGAAGGAAAACAAAAAAATTAACGGAAAATGTAGAACTTAAAAAAAAAAATGGAAAAATTGAAGAACCGAAACATTGCAAAATCCCAGAACTGAAATACTGAAAAACTGAAAAATGGAAGGAAAATTGAAAAATCGAAAAAGTGAAAAAATTCAAAACTGAATCTTGAAAAACTGAAAAATGGAAAGAAAATTGAAGATTCGGAAAAGTAAAAAAATCCAAAACTGAAACATTGAAAAATTCAGAAATGGAAAAATTGAAAAATCACAATTGAAGAAAGAACTGAAAAATCGATAAATAGAGAAATGGGAAAAACAAAAAATCAGTTAATCGAAAAATTTAGAAACGTCAAAAATTGAAAACTGAAAAATAAAAAAATTAAAAATCGTAACACTGAAACATCGGAAAATTGAGAAATCGAAAAATTAAGAATTCAAAAATTTTTGACATTGAAAAATTACAATATCAAAAAATTCAAAAATCTAGAAATCGAAACAACAAAAGATCGAAAAATTGAAAAAACAAAAATTTAAAAATCTAAAATTTGAAAAATCGAAGAAGCAAATAATCGAGAAATCGAATCCAAGAATCGAAGTATTGGAAAATCCCAAAATTAAAAAATCTACACAACGAAAAGTAGAAAAATCGAAGTAAAAAATTGAAAATTTAGGAAATCAAAAAACTGAAAACTCAAAAATCTGAAAATTCCCAAAATAAAAAAATTAAAAATTGAGATATTAAAGTACCGAAAATTTGAAAAATCGAGAAATCCAGGGTCGAAAAATTGAAAATTCCCAAATTGAAAAATCGAAGTATTGAAAAATCCCAAAACAAAAATATCAAAAAATTGAAAAATGTGGGAGAGAAATTGAAGAAACGAAAAATTAACTAATCCCAAACTCAAAAATCAAGAGATGGGAAAGTTGAAAAGTCGTAAAATTGTAACATCGAAAAATTGAGACATTGACTAATAAAAATCGAGAACTCGAAAATTTGAAGAATCAAGACATTGAAGTATCGAAATGTCGAAAAATCCCAAAGCTGAGATATCGAAATCTTAAAAAATCAAAGGATAATTGAAGAAACGAATATTCAAAAATTCCAGAACTAAAAAATTGAGAAATCGAAAAGTCGAAAAATCGAGGTCAAAAAATCAAAACTTTAAATAAAAAATCGAAAAATGAAAAATCAAAGACCTGAAACATCGAAAAATTGAAGGATTGAAAAACTAAAAAATCGAACTTTCGAGAAATGGGAAAGGCGAAAAATCCGTTAGTCGAGAAATTGAAAAAATCGAGAATTCGAAAATTTGAAAAATCTAAAAATTCAAAAATCCCAACACTGAAAAATCGAAAAATTGAGTAATCGAAAAATTGAAAACCGACAAATGGAAAATAAAAAATTCACAAATCAAAAAAGGCTAAAATCGAAAATTAAAATTTTGAAAAATCGTAAAGTTTTTCGATTGAAAATGGAAAAGTCTAAAGATTTTAAAACCGAGAAATTGACAGTTCCCAAATTGAAAAATTTGAAAAATCGAAAAACCAAATATTCGAAAAATCAAAAAATTGAAGAAACGAAAAACTATAGAATTGAAAAACTAAAGAGTCGCAAAATTGAAAAGTCGAGAAATCGAGAAGTGGGAAAAACAAAAAATCGATTATTCGAAAAATTGAGAAATCGGAAAACTGAATATTTTGAAACGTCATAAAAAATTAAAAATCGTAACACTGAAACATCGGAAAATTGAGAAATCGAAAAATGAAGAAATTCGAGAAACCGAAAATATGAAGAATCGAGAAATCGAAGAATCGATAAATTTAAAAAATCCTAACAGTAATATGTCGAAAAATTGAGAAATCGAAATCGAGCAAAACTGAAGTACCGTAAAATTAATAAATTGAAAAACTGAAAATTTTTGAAAAAAAAATCGTATCAAAAACAAAAATTCAAAAAATCGAGAAATTGAACAATCAAAACATTGAAATCTCAGTAAGTTGATAAATAGGAAAATTTTAAAAACAAAAATTTTCAAAATCCAAGAATTGATTGAACAACAAAAAAAATCTAAGCTTGAAAACTCAGAAAATCGAACGATCGAGAACTCAATACATCAAAGAAAACAAAAAATCTAAAATTTAAAAATTCGACAAATTGAAAAATCATGGAACTGAAAAATCGATAAGTCGAGATAGTGAGAAATCTAAAAACCTAAAACTTTAAAAACTGAAAAATTAAAATATCGAAAAATTTAAAAACCGAGAAAACACAATATCAAAAATTTGAAAAATTGAAGAAACGAAATATAAAATTCCAAATCTGAAATATTGAAAAACCTAAAAATGGAAGGAAAATTAAAGAACCGAAACAGTGAAAAAATCCAAAACTGAAACATTGAAAAATTGAGAAATGGAGAAATGTGAAAATCAAACAAATTGGTCTAAAGAGTTTAGACAGTATTTCCAAAATAATGTTATACCTCGTCTAGCGAGTCCCCTTAACGATTAGCGGCGATTGTTTTATCGTGATTAACGCGATAAAGTAACTTTAGCACACCTGCTACTGGGTAAATAAAAATTGACTTGTCTTAGGTTATTGAAAGATCCATTAATTCTCAACTCGGTGCTGAATATTATAATTTATGTAAAGCGCTCTGAGGTTCGAGTTTTATACTGTAAAATTTTTCGTTGCTGTTTACAAATTAGGCAATTAAGGAGAAAAGAGCATAATTTATTAGATTAGGGCACGCAACTTGTAACCAAATAACGTTTAGTTATGTAAATTTGGAAGTGGGCTTGTTTTTGCTTGATTGCTTTCAAACCAAGCGTAAATTATTAAAATCGGGTAATATTTACACTAACAACGAGTTTAGTTTATGTTTAGTAAAATTCAGGAAACAGAATAATTTTCTGTAACTACTGTAGTCTATATTTAGAAAACTGGCGCCCGAGCGACCATAAACTCACGAACTTTCGACAACCCCTTTCACAGATTTCAACCCCGTATGAGTGGCAGCCCCGCATAGTTTCCACCCAACTAATCCAACTGGGTGATTTGTTCCTGGTTGCGGTTCCGGGAGAATTCACCACGATGTCTGGACGACGTCTACGCAGGACTATTAGGGACACCGCCATCAACAACGGGGTCTCCGGCGCAAAAGTCGTCATTACGGGCCTGAGCAATATTTACACCAGCTATATTGCGACGCCGGAGGAATATCAAGTAAGCATTTGATAAATACTGATGTTGGAAGAGTTATAAGAGTTGCGTAATGTCTTATTATGGAATGGAAGGGGATTTTCCGGCGGTTTATAAATTTGAGGGGGTGGTTTCGGCTGATTATCATAATAATCCAGTTCATGATTTACGGGTGGATGGTTATTGGGAAATTCGGATACGTCTTGGGGATTTGGAATGTTTATTAATTAGGGGATGGGGGTGAGCACGAATTCGGAGGTTTTGCACTTAATTAAATTTTTGATAGGGGTGAGTATCGCGCGTAAATGTGGCTAGACAGATTTTTATGAATTTTTCCAGACTTAGTAAATATTAACAAAAAAAAAGTTGGTAGTAATTTGGTGATTCCACATAACTGAACACAGTGGAATAAATTACAATTTTTTCTATTTTACCATTTATTTCACTGGATACCCAGACAATTTTTTTATCACTCATATTAATCAGAGGTGTTTTTGTTGAATTTCGTCATTATAAAAATTAAAACTAGGCGACTTCTGGATATTTTAAAACCCCATATGTTGCCCTATTAACATTCCTCTACTAAAAAACCCGCTGTAACTTCCCGCAAACATGTTTATAATCCGATTTGGGCCAACTACGTCGAAATTTTCCGCAATTATTCACGTTACTAGCGTCTGCATTCATATTTATCTCAAAACTGTTTCAAACTGGGTTCCATTCAAAACACGTCCGAAAGCTTTTCCTCGTATATTACGCAATGACGGGAGCCGATTTAATATCCTCCCACGTGGTGTCAATAGTGAAGGCTTCGTACGAAAAATGCTGTTTCGATTAGAATGAAAATTAGGAGGTGAGAAGTCAATTAACTTTTTTACTTCGCGAGTGTGACGGGGTATTTTTTGGTGTCAAATTTTGTGTTGATGTCGCTAATAAATTTTGTGATAGTATTAAATGTTATTTAAATTTCTATATTTGTGGTTTATGGATCCGTGTTGAGTTTGTAGCTTAGGCATCCAGATTTTTGGAAAACAAAAATCTATTTTGTATGATAACATCGAACTTGAAAATTGTAAAATCGATTTTTTGCCTCAGTTGTTCGTTTTTGGATTTGGGGCTTGTCAATTTCTCGGTTTTAAATTTTTTCGACTTCTCAATTTTCAATTTTCAATCGAAAAACCTTTCGATTTTCAAAATTTCGATGCTTCGCTTTTTTATTTTCAAATTTTTCAATTTTTGAGTTTTTGACTTTGCTATTTCCCGATTTTAGCCTTTTTTGATTTGTCAATTTTTCGCAACTTTCGATTTCTCGATTTCTGGGTTTTCAAGTTTTCGATATTTCAGTGTTGGGATTTCTCAATTTTTAGATTATCAAATTTTCGAATTCTCGATTTTTTCATTTATCGATTTCTCAGTTTTCCGATTAATAGATTTTTCGTCTTTCCCATTTCTCGAATTCTCGACTCTTTAGTGTTTCGATTTTTCAGTTTTTCAATTTTTCAATTTTTCGATTTTTCAGGTTTTTGCTTTTTCATTTTTGGATTTTTTAAGTTTTTGATTTTTTGACCTCGATTTTTCGACTTTTTGATTTCTGAATTTGTTAGTTCTGGGATTTTTGAATATTCGTTTTTTCAATTTTTGTTTGAATTTTTAAGTTTCCTATATTTTAGCTTTGGGATTTTTTGAGATCTCAATTTTTTCATTGATGAATATCTCAATATTTCGACTTTTACGATTTTTTAATTTTTCCACTCTTCAATTTTCGATTTTTCATTTTTTCGGTTTTTCAATTTTTCTCGGTTTCCCGATTTTTCAATATTTCGACTTTTCAGTTTTTCAGTTGTTCAATTTTTCGATTTTTCAGGTTCCTGAGTTTTCAGCTTATCGATTTTTTGAATTTTCGGTTTTTCTACTTCAATTTTTCAACTTTCCGATCCCTCGATTTTGAATTTTTAAAATTTTTCATTTTGGGAATTTTCAATTTTTCGGTTTTAACGTTTTTCAACTTTTCAGTTTTTCGATTTTTCAATTTTTTGATTATTCGGTTTTTCAAGTTTTTGCTTCTTCAGTTTTTCAATATTTGAATTTTTTTAATTTTTCCACTCTTCAATTTTCGATTTTTCATTTTTTCGATTTTTCAATTGTTCTCGGTTTCCCGATTTTTCAATATTTCGACTTTTCAGTTTTTCAGTTGTTCAATTTTTCGATTTTTCAGGTTCCTGAGTTTTCAGCTTATAGATTTTTTGAATTTTCGGTTTTTCTACTTCAATTTTTCAACTTTCCGATCCCTCGATTTTAAATTTTTAAAATTTTTCATTTTGGGAATTTTCAATTTTTCGGTTTTAACGTTTTTCAACTTTTCAGTTTTTCGATTTTTCAATTTTTTGATTATTCGGTTTTTCAAGTTTTTGCTTCTTCAGTTTTTCAATATTTGAATTTTTGAATATTTTAAATATTAGATTTCTCGATTTCAGTTTTGGGATTTCTTTAGTTTTTCGATTCTTCAGTTTTTTGATTTTTAATTTTTCGATTTATTACTTTTTGACTGTTTGATCTCGATTTTTCGACATTTCGATTTCTCAATTTTTTAGTTCTGGGATTTTTGAATATTCGTTTCTTCAATTTTTCTTTGATTTTTTAAGTTTCCTATATTTTAGCTTTGGGATTTTTCGATTTCTCGGTTTTTTCATTGGTCAATATCTCAAATTTTCGATGTTACACTTCTATGATTTTTTAATTTTTCCACTCTTCAATTTTCGATTTTTCATGTTTTCGGTTCTTCAATTTTTCTCGGTTTCACGATTTTTCAATATTTCGACTTTTCAGTTTTTCAGTTGTTCAATTTTTCGATTTTTTAGGTTCCTGAGTTTTGAGCTTATCGATTTTTTGAATTTTCGGTTTCTCTGCTTCAATTTTTCAACTTTCCGATCCCTCAATTTTTGAATTTGGGATTATTTAATTTTCCGTTTCTTCAATTTCTCCCCAATTTTTCAATTTTTCGATAATTCACTTTTTTCGACTCTCGATTTCTCGAATTTTCAATACTTTAAAATTTCAATTTTTAAAGTTCTTCATTTTGGAAATTTTCAATTTTTCGGTTTTAATGTTTTTCAACTTTTCGGTTTTTCGATTTTTCAATTTTTCGATTTTTCGATTTTTCAACTTTTTGGTTTTTCAATTTTTCAATATTTGAATTTTTGAATTTTTTATATTTTCGATTTCTCGTTTTCAGTTTTTGGGTTTTTTTAGTTTTTCGATTCCTCAATTTTTGTTCCAATTTACAGTTCTTCGGTATTTCAGTTTTGAGATTTTTCCCTAATTCTATTCTTCAATTTTTGATTTCCCAATTTTGACTTTTTCGTTTGTTTAAATTTTCGCCTTTTAAATTTTAGATACTTAAATTTTCGAGTTTCTGTTTCAATTTCTCAATTTTTCCATTTTTCAATTTATCGATTTATCGATTTTTATTTTTTAATTTAAAATTTTTCAATTTTTCAGTTTTTAAATTTTCTATTTTTCGGTTATGGCTTTTTTTGATTTTCGGCTTTTGGACTTTTCGGTTTCTCGATTTTCAATTTGTCGCTTACTCAATTTTTCGATATTTGAGTGTTGGGATTTTTCAATGTTTCAAATTTTGACGCTCCTAAATTTTCTATTTCTCGATTTTTCAATTTGTCGATTAATCCAATTTTTATTGTTCCCATTTCTCGATTTGTGAACTTCTCAATATATCGACTTTTCAGTTTCGTAATTTTTCAGTTTTTCGATTTTTTAAATTTTCGATTTTCTAGTTGAATTTTTCACCTTTTCGATCTCTCGATTTTTTAATTTTCGGATTTTTCAATATCTCGATTTTTCAGTTCTTCAATTTTTCGATTTCTCGACTACTTGCTTTCTCGATTTTTCAAATTTTCGATTTTTAAATTTTAGATTTTTCAATTTTTAGATTTTTTGTTGTTTCGATTGTTGTTTTGATTTCTAGATTTTTCGATTTTTCGATACTTTAATTTTTCAATTTTTAAAATACTTGGTTTTTGAATTTTCAGTTTTTCAGTTTTAAAATTTTTCGAGTTCTTGAGATTTCGATGCTCCGATTTTTTCATTTACCAAATTTTCGATTGGTCGATTCTTTTATTTTAGAATTTTCAGTTTTTCAGTTTTTAATTTTTCTGTTTTTCGCTTTTGGCTCTTATGATTTGTCGGTTGTTTAATTTTCGATTTCTCGATTTTCAATTTTTCGATTTTTTAAATTTGCGATTTTTCGACTTCGATTTCTAGATCTTTCAGTTTTTCGATTCTTCAGTTTTAGTTCGATTTTGCAATTTTTCGATATTCAGTTTTGGGATTTTTCACTATTTTGATACTTCAGTTCTTGCTTTCTCAATTTTGATTTCTCGATTTCTCAAATTCTCGGTTCTTAAATTTTAGATAATTCAATTTTTCGCGTTTCTGCTTCGATTTGTGCATTTTTCCATTTTCCCGTTTTTCGATTTTCGATTTTTTTTATTTTAAATTTTTAAATTTTTCAGATTTTAAGTTCTCGATTTTTTGATTTTGGTTTGTAGTTTTTTTGATTTTTTGACTTTTGTACTTTTCGATTTCTGGATTTTCAGTTCTTCAATTACTCAGTTTTTTGATATTACTGTGTTGGAAGTGTCAAATTTTTCGATTATCCAATTTTTGCCTTTCTAAATTTTTAATTTTTTTGATTTTTCATTTCCTCGATTAGTCAATTTTTTGTTTTTCCCATATTCGATTTCTAGACTTTTCAATATTTGGACTCTTTAGTTTTTCATTTCTATAGTTTTTCGATTCTTCAATTTTTTTATTTTTCCACTTTTTGATTTTTCGATTATTTGGTTTTTCGATTTTTCAAATTTTTCAATTTGGGAACTGTCAATTTCTCGTTTTTAAAATGTTTAGTCTTTTCAATTTTCAATCGAAAAACTACGATTTTTCAAAATTTTAATTTTTGTGTTTTTGACTTTGCTATTTTTCGATTTTAGCCTTTCTTGATTTGTGAATTTTTTTATTTTCGATTTCTCGGTCTTCAATTTTTCGATTACTCAACTTTTTGATATTTCAGTGTTGGGATTTTACAATTTTTGAATTTTTCGATTTCTCAATTTCTCGATTAATGGATTTTTCACCTTTCCCACGTTTCTCGAAACCTCGACTTTTCAGTTTTTCAATCTTCAATTTTTCGATTTTTCAGGTTTTTGATTTTTCATTTTTCGATTTTTTATTTAAATTTTTGATTTTTTGACCTCGATTTTTCGACTTTTCGATTTCTCAATTTTTTAGTTCTGGGATTTTTGAATATTCGTTTTTTCAATTATCCTTTGATTTTTTAAGTTTTCGATATCTCAGCTTTAGGATTTTTCGACATTTCGATACTTCAATGTCTCGATCCTTAAAATTTTCGAGTTCTCGTTTTTTTCTTTAATGTCTCAATTTTTCGATGTTACAGTTTTACGATTTTTCCATTTTTCCTATTTCTCGATTTCTCGACTTTTCAATGTTTTGACTTTTCAGTTTTTCTATCGTTCAATTTTTCGATTTTTCAGGTTTTTGAGTTTTCAATTTTCCGATTTTTTGAATTTTCGATTTTTCAGCTTTCACATCTCTCGATTTTTGAGTTTGGGATTAGTTAATTTTTCGTTTCTTCAATTTCTCTCCCATTTTTCAATTTTTTGATATTTCAGTTTTGGGATTTTTCCATATTTCGATTTTTCAATTTTTCGATACTTTAATTTTTCAATTTTTAAAATTTTTCAATTTGGGAATTTTCAATTTTTCGGTTTTAACATTTGTCGACCCTGGATTTCTGGATTTTTAAATTTTTCGGTACTTTAATATCTCAATTTTTAAAATGTTTTATTTTGGAAATTTTCCATTTTTCTGTTCTAACGTTTTTCGACTTTTCAGTTTTGCGATTTTCCAATTTTTCGATTCCTCGAGATTTCCATGCTCTGATTTTTTATTGTTCAATTTCTACATTTCTCAATTTACCAATTTTTCGATTTTTCTATTTATGGATATTTTTATTTTCGATTTCTCGATTTTTTCGATGTTTCATGTGGGGATTTTTCAGTTTTTCGTTTCAATTTTTCAATTTCTCGAGTTCTCAGTGTTTCGATTTCTCAGTTTTTTGTTTTCAGTTTTCGATTTTTCGATTTCGATTTCTTCATTTAACAATTTCAGGAGTTCTCACATTTTCAATTCGTCAATTATTCCATTTCTCAATTTCGACTTTTTTTCAAATTTTCGGTTTATAAAATTTAGATACATATTTCAAGTTTTCGAGGTTCTGATGGTTTGATTTTTCGATTTTTCAGTTTTTCGATTTTTTTTTTAATTTCAAAGTTTTCAAACTTTTAGTTTTTAACTTTTCGATTTTGGCTTTTCTGATTTGTTAATTTTTGGATTTTCAGTTTCTCGACTTTTCGATTTCTCGATTGTCAATTTTTCCCTTACTCAGTTTTTCGATATTTCAATGTTGGGATTTTTCATTTTTTCAATTTTTGACGTTTCTAAATTTTCTATTTTTCGGTTTTTCAATTTGTCGAATAATCGATTTTTTGTTGTTCCCATTTCTCGATCTCAACTTTTCAATATTTCGATTTTCAGTTTTTCGAATTTTCAGATTTTTGAGTTTTCCGTTTATGGTTTCCTAGATTTTCGATTTTCTACTTCGATTTTTCAACTTTTCAATATGTGGATTTTTTAATTTTGGGATTTTTCAATACTTCGATTCCTCGATCATTCGATTTCTCGATTATTTGCTTCCTCGATTTTTCGAATTTTAGATTTTTAAATTTTTAGTTTTGCAATTATTCGATTTTTTGTTGTTTCGATTTCTAGATTTTTCAATTTTTCAATATTAAAAATTTTTATTTCTCAATTTTTCGATTTTTAGATTTTAGATTCTTAAATTTTTCGATTTTTGATGCCCGGTTTCTCGATTTTTCAATTTTTCGTTAATCCAATTGTTCAATTTTTAAAATTTTTGGTTTTGGGAATTTTTAATTTACGGTTTTAAAATTTTTCGACTTAAAATTTTTCGGCTTAAAATTTTTCGATTTTTTCAATTTTTCGATTTTTCGCGATTTCGTAATTTACTAATTTTTCGATTTAACGATTTTTTTTAATTCAAAATTTTTCAGTTTTTCAGTTTTTAACTTTTTTGATTTGTTAATTTTTTGATTTACGACTTCTCGACTTTTGATTTTTCGATTTTTCATCTTTTGGATTTCTTCAATTTTGCGATTTTTAAATTTTCGATTTCTTGATTTCAGTTTTGGAGTTTTTTTAGTTTTTTGATTCTTCAATTTTTGTTCCATTTTGAAGTTTTTCGATATTTCAGCTTTGAGATTTTTCACCATTTCTATTCTTCAATTTTCGATTTCTCAATTTTGACTTTTTCGATTTTTTAAATTCTAAATTTTCGAGTTTCTGTTTCGATTTCTGGATTTTTCCATTTTTTAATTATTCAATTTATCGATTCTTATTTAATTTTCAATTTTTCGTTTACTCAGTTTTTCGATATTTCACTGTTGGGATTTTTCAATTTTTCAAATTTTGACGTTTCTAAATTTTCTATTTTTCGATTTCTCAATTTCTCCATTAATCGATTTTTTGTTTTTCCCATTTCTCGATTTCTCAATTTCTCCATTAATCGATTTTTTGCTTTTCCCATTTCTCGATTTCTCGACTTATATATTTCGATTTTTCAGTTTTTCAGTTCCTTAGTTTTTCGAATTTTCTACTTCCATTTTTCAACTTTTCGACCTCTAGTTTTTTCAGTTCTGAAATTTTTCAATTTTTCGTTTCTTCAATTTTTCTCCCATTTTTCAATTGTCCGATATCAATATCAATTTTTGGATTTTTCGATTTCTGAAATATTTGATCTTTGGAGTTTTAAATTCTATATTTTTTCAATTTTTAGATTTTTGATGTTCGATTTCTCGATTCTCAACTTTTCGATACTTTAATTTTCCAATTTTTAAAATTTTTGATTTTGGGAATTTTCAGTTTTTCGGTTTTAAAATTTTTCGATTTTTCGATTTCCCAGATCTTCGATTTATCGATCTTTTTAATTTAAAATTTTCAATTTTTCAGTTTTTAACTTTCCTGTTTTTCGATTTTGGCTTTTATGATTTGCCAATTTTTTAATTTTCGATTTCTCCATTTTCAGTTTTTCGATTCTTCAATTTTTGTTCGATTAATCAATTTTTTGTTTTTCCCATTTCTCGACTTTTTAGTTATTCAGTTCTTCAGTTTTTCGAATTTTCAGGTTTTAGACTTTCAGTTCTTCGTTTTTCTTAAATTTTCGATTTTTTTACTTCAATTTTTCAACTTTTCGATCTCTAGATTGTTCAGTTTTGAAAATTTTCAATTTTTCGTTTCTTCGATTTTTCTCCCATGTTTCAATTTTCCAATATTTCAGTTTTGGGATTTTTCAAATATTTCGATTTTTCAATTCCTGAAATATTTGATTTTCCGAGTTTTAAATTCTAGATTTTTAATTTTTCGGTTTTTGAAGTTCGGTTTCTCGATTCTCAATTTTTCGATACTTTAATTTTTCAATTTTTAAAATTTTTGATTTTTCGCTCTTCATTTTGCGTCTTTGATTTCTAGATTTTTCAGTTTTTCGGTATTTCAGTTTTGGGAGTTTCACCATTTCGATTCTCCAATTTCTGATTTCTCAATTTTGACTTTTTCGATTTTTCAAATTTTCGGTTCGTAAATTCTAGATAATTAAATTTTTCGCGTTTCTGCTTCGATTTGTGGATTTTTCCGTTTTCCCATTTTTTGATTTTCGATTTTTTTTAATTTAAAAATTTTTAAATTTTTCAATTTTTAAGTTCTCGAGTTTTTTATTTTAGTTTGTAATTTTTTTCATTTTTTGACTTTTGTACTTTTCGATTTCTGGATTTTCAGTTCTTCAAAACTCAAATTTTTGATATTGCCGTTTTGGGAGTGTTAAATTTTTCGATTTTTCGACTTCGATCTCTCGATTTCTCAATTTTTGAGATTTTTCAGTTTTTTGATTTTTGTTTCATTTTGCCATTTTTCCATATTTCGGTTTTGAGAGTTTTCTGAATTCCAATTCTCCAATTTTTCAATTTCTCTGTTTTGACGTTTTCGATTTTTCAAATTTTCGGTTTATAATTTTAGATATTTCAATTTTTGGAGTTCTCGATTTTTCCATTTCCCAATTTTTCGATTTATCGATTTTTTTTAATTCTTCAATTTCTAATTTTCAATCGAAAGCTTCGAAAAATTCAAAAACTGAAACATCAAAAATCGGAATTTTAAAACATCGAGAAATGGAACAATCGAAAAATAGAAACATTAGAATATCGGCAAATCGGGAATTGGGAAATAAAAATATTTTAAAAATATGTATATAGAAAAACTGAAAAATCGAAAATTTTAAAAATTGAAAAACTAAATCCAAAAATCAAGAATTTTAAAAATCAAAAAAAAATAGAAATATCTAGAACAGAAACATAAAAAAAATGAAAAATTGAAAATTCCAGAAATTGAAAATTGTCCAAAATGGAAATGTTCCGGAACTGAAAAATTGAAAAAAAAAGAACGGGATAAAAAAATTGTAAAATTGAAAAACTGAAAAATCGAAATATGTAACATTTAAAATATTGAAAAATTGAAGAATCAATAAACTGGAATTTCCGATTTTTTGGTGTTTAGATTTATCGATTTTTCAACTTTTTGACTATTTTTAAAATTTTACATTTTTCGACTTATCGACTTTTAGATTTTTGGATTTTTTAAGTTTTCGATTAATCATTTTTTTGCGGACTTTTATATTTTTTTTACTTTAATGTTTGTAAAATTTCATTTTTTGCGAAAAAAATTCCATACGAATTCTAGAAAATATACAGTGAAATTAAAAAAGTTGAGAGGTCGTAATCAAACACACAAAATTTTTACTTCATCTAGATACTTTATATATTTCTTATACTATTCTTACATTTTTTTATAGATGCAGAGATACGAGGGTGCGTCGACAATTTTCGGACCCTACACGCTCACATTATACCGGAAAGTGTACAAGGAGATGGTGGAGGCCATGCTGACGGTGTGTTTAATGTAATCCTCATGAAAAAAAACTTCATTAAAACATTAAACTTGCATAAAGTTTTAATCCAGTAATGCACTCTACAGTCTGCTTTTTATCCTAGGGTGAAAACGTGGATCCCGGTCCTCAACCCCCGGATCTCTCGACTCAAGTTATATCATTAGTCCCTCCCGTCATGCTCGACACTTCCGGGTTTCTGAAGCAGTTCGGCGATTGCCTCGTTCAACCCCTTCCGGTGGTTAAAAGAGGGATGACAGTGTTTGCCCTGTTCGTGAGTATACAGTTACAGTGTTTTATTAAAAACGACGGTCTTGATACTAACAGAATTAATTTAATTTCACTCAAAGAGACTTCGAGATTTAATTATTTCGATACTGAAGAGTAATGAAATTTAGAGGGCGTTCATTATCGCTGCTTATTTATTTGATCACGTGACGCGCGACGATAGGGGTTTGATTCGTGCTTTTATTTATGGAAAAAACCGATTTCCCGAATGTTTATTTTTCCATTACTCCGGTTCGCACCCTCTATTGCGTTATTTAATTCGCTTTAACAGCCGCAAATTCACCACGCGGAATAATAATGAAGTAAAAAAACTAGCGAAACTCATAAACAAAAATCACTTAACGAAATTTAAATTTTAAAAAACGATGATAATTTGCATTTGAAGATTTCCGGCCATCCCCGGAACAACCTGATGCACGACCGGACTTTCCTCACGGTGGAAAAGCGGGTGGAAGCACGCAAGTGGAAAGTTGTGGCGACGGACGCCGACTGGGAGACGAAGTGAGTAAAGTGGTTTTATTTCACGAGTGCGGTAAATCGCACCAGCATTGTTGTTTGACTTCTTTCAGGTTTATTTGGAGGAGAGACTCCACTTTGAGTGGGGGCAGTAAAGTTACGGTTGAGTGGACGGTTCCGTTGAACGCCGCCCCGGGGAAGTACAGGCTAAGACACTTTGGGTATTACAAGAGTTTGTTCGGGGGAACGTTTCCGTATAGCGGAACTTCGAAAAGTTTCGAAGTGATCGAATAAAATTGTTAAGACTGAATTTAACTAGTAGATGTATTGTAGGTTCTTGCCATGTAATAAATTATGTAATGAATAGATATTAATATTTATTGTCAGTATTCTCATTTCCAGCTTCTTCTCAGGTTTTTCAGTTTCTTTAAATTATGTAGTCTTGTACTTGTGGTTTATGAATCCGGTTTAAGTTTTTATACTTGAGATCCAGATCTTTGTACAACAATAGAAAAGAATATTTATTAACGGGATACCTCTATTACAATATTAATTAAACTTATTAAGTTTAATTAATATAATAATATTAACATAAGTTTCTTCATTTCGTCTTTGGTACTTTGTCCCTTTCGTCATTCATGTCCTTTGTCCTCTTCGTCTTTCATTTTTCGTCTTAATCCACTTCGTACTTTTCGTATATCGTCTTTCGTCCGGCATTCCCTTGGTCTCCTACATCCTAGGTCCTTTTTGTCTCCCTTGCCCTTTGTCCCCTTCGTACCCTATGTCCTTTGACCGCTTCTTCCGCATCTTTCATCCTTTCTCTCCGTCCTTCCTTCCCTTCGTCCTTCGTCAATTTCGTTCTTCGTACTACGTCCCCTTCGTTCTTTTCGTCTTCCGTGTCTTTCGTTACCTTCATTCTTTGTACTTCGTGTCCTTCGTCTTTCGTATCTTTCGTGTGCTTGGGATCCTCCGTGTACTTCGTCCCCTTCCTTCTTTGTGTCCTTCGTCCCACGTCTGCGTTGTCATTAATCCGTTCTGTTCTTCGTCTCCTTCGTTATTTGTCCCCTTCGTCCTTTGTACTCCTTCGACTTCTTCCTAGGTGGCTTTCGTTTCCTTCGTCATTCATCCTTTGTCCTCTTCGTCATTCATCTTTTGTCCTCGTGGTCCTTCGGCCATTGTGCCCTTCGTCTTTCGACACCTTAGTCCTCCGTTCTTAGTCCTTTTGTCCATTTTGCCCATTCACCCTTCGTCCTACTTCCAATTCCTCTTTCTTCTTTCCCTCTTTCTTCACTTCGTTCTTGATTAACCTCGTACCTTTCGTATTTCGTCTTTTGTCTGCACGCCCTTCATACTTTATCAACTTCGTCCTTCGTCCCCTATGTCTTTCGTCTTCTCCGTTCACTTTGTCCTTTGTCACGGTCGTACCCTTTGTCCTTTGTCCTCTTCGTCCCCATCATCTTTCGTCCTTTGTCTCTTTCGTCCTTTGCTCTATTTGCCTTTCGCCATTTACATCCTTCGTATTACTTTCCCTTCGTTCTTTTCGTCTTCCGTGTCCTTCCTCCTCTCAGTTCATCGTCCTTTGTGTCCTTCGTGTACATCGTATTCTTTGAGTTCTTTGTCCCCTTCATTCTTCGTGTCCTTCGTCCTTCGTCTGCTTTGTCTTTGTACTCTTTCGACTTCTTCGTTCTTCATCCTTCGTCCTGCGTTCGTGGTCCTTTGCCTCCTTTGTCCTTTGTATCTTTGGTCTTCTTCGTCTTTCGTGTCCTTCGACCCTTCGTCCTTAGTCTCCTTCGTTCTTGGTGTCCTTGGTCCCTTTCTTCTTTCGTCCGATTTTTCTCCTTCGTCTTTCGTGTCTTTGGTCCTCTTCGTCCTTTGTGTCCTTCCTCCAACTCGTCTTTCGTCTCTTTCATACTTCGTGTTCTTCGTTCTTCGTGTCCTTCAATCTTCGTGTCCTTCGTCCTTCGTGTCCTTCATCCTTCGTGTCCTTCGTTCTTCGTGACCTTCGTGTCCTTCGCCCTTCGTCCTATTTTCAATTTGTCCTTCTTTACTCTTTATTCAATTCGTTCTTTGTAATTCACCCCTCGTACTTCGTTCTTCATCAACTTCGCACTTTTTATATTTCGTCTTTCGTTCTGCACGTCCTTTATCCTTCGTCAACTTCATCCTTGGTCCCCTTCGTCTTGGTCCCCATTGTTTCGTTCCCTTCGTTTTTCGTGAGTTTCGTCCTTCGTACTTCGTCTCCTTTTCCTCTTCGTTCATTGTCCTTCTTGTACTTCGCCCTTGGTATGCTTCGTATTATTCGTGTCCTTCGTCCCCCGTCTGCTTTGTCTTCATCCCCTTCGTCCTTTGTACTCCTCCGACTTCTTCATCCTCCCTGTCCTTCGTCCCCTTCGTCCGTCAACCCTTTCCTCCTCCATTCTTGATCCTTTTGTTCGCTTTCTCCGATTTGTCTGCTAAGTCCTTTGTTCTTTGTCCCCTTCACCCACTCGTCCTTTGTCCTGCTTCCCCTTCACCCTTCTTCCTTCACTCTTTCTTCAACTGGTTCTTCGTAATTCGCTCCTTATCCATCGTCCTTTGTCTCCTTCGCCCTTCGTTGCATTCGTCATTTGTACCCTTCGTTATTTGTACTCCCATGACTTCTCCGTTCTCCGTGTCCTTCGACCCCCTCGTTCTTCGTCCTTTGTCCTACGGCCCCTTGTGTCGTTTTTAATTCTTCGTTTTTTGTCCCTTTCAATCTTCGTCAAATTTGTCCGCTTCGTCCTCCGTCTTTCATTCGTACTTCTCGTCTTTCTTCCGCTTCGTCCCTATCATCTTTCGTCTCGTGTCCTTGGCCCCTCGTGTCTTTCGTTCTTCGTATCTTTCTTATCCTTCGTCCTTCGTCTGTATTGTCTTTCATCCGTTTCGTCCTTCGTCTCCTTTATTCTACGTCCCCTTCGTTCCTCGTTCTTCATCCCCTTCGCCCTGTTCTTCGTCCTTTGTGTTTTTGGACTTTTTCGTCCTTCGTGTCCTTCGTCTTTCGTCCTTCGTCTTTCGTCCTTCGTATTTTTCATCCTTCATGTCCTTCGCCTTTGGTGTCCTTCGTCCTTCGTATCCTTCGCCCTTCGTGTCCTTCGTCCTTAGTGTACTGCGTCCTTCGTGTACTTCGTCCTTAGTGTACTGCCTCCTTCGTGTAATCCGTCCTTAGTGTCCTTTGTCCTTCGTCTTTCGTATCTTTCATCCTTCGTGTCGTTCGTCGTTCGTCCTTCTTGCTCTTGGTCCTTCATATCTATCGTCCTCTGTCCTTCGTCCTTCGTGTCTTTCGTTCTCCGTGTCCTTCGTCCTCCGTGATTTTGGTCTTTCGTTCTTTGTATTCATTCGACTTCTTCGTCCTCCGTGTCTTTCATCCCCTTCGTTCATCGTCCTTTATCCTCTTCGCCCTTTGTCCTTCGTGTTTTAGTCTCCTTCGTCCTTCATGTTTTTAGTCTCCTGCGTCCTTCATGTCCTTAGCCCCTTGTGTCCTTCGTCATTGGTATTTTTCGTATCCTTGTCCTTCGTCTGTATTGTCTTTCATCCGTTTCGTCCTTCGTCTCCTTCATTGTTCGTTCCCTTCGTCCTTTGTATTCCTTCGACTTCTTCGTCCTCCGTATCCTTCGTCCCCCTTGTTCTTCGTTCTTCATCCCCTTCGTTCACTGTCCTTCGTGTCCTTTAGTCTCTTTCGTCCTTCGTGTCCTTCGTCCTTTGTATTCCTTCGACTCCTTCGTTCTCCTTGTCCTTCGTTCCCTTTGTTCTTCGTCCTTCATTCCCATCGCCCTTTGTCCTCCGTGTCTATTAGTCGCTTTCGTTCTTCATGTCGTTAGTCTCCTTCGTCTTTCGTGTCCTTAGCCCCTCCTGTCCTTCGCATCTTTCGTCTCGTTAGTCCTTCAACCCCTTCTTCCTCCGTTCTTGATCGTTTTGTTCCCTTCGTCCGATTTGTCCCCTTAGTCCTGTGCCCTTTGTCCCCTTCGCCCATTCGTCTTTAGTAATACTTCCCCTTCACCCTTCTTCCTTCACTTTTTCTTCAATTCATTCGTCGCAATTCGCCCTTTTTCGTTCGTCCATTTGAATCCTTCGTCCTTCGTTGCCTTCGTCAGTTGTCCCCTTCGTTATTTGTACTCCATCGAATTCCCCGTTTTCCGTCTGCTTCGTTCTCCTCGCTCTTCGTTCTCCGTCCTTCGCCTCCTTCGTCCTTCCGCCTCTTCGTCCTCCGTCTTTCATCCTTCGTCCTTCTTCACTTTCGTGCTTCGTGCTTCTCTCTTACTTCAATTCGTTGTCGGTAATTCACCCCTCGTAATTCGTCTTTCAATAGTATTTCGTCTTTCGTCCTTTACGCCTCACACCCTTCATCAACTTTGTCCTTCGTCCTCTTCGTTCCCTTTGCGCTTTGTCTCATTCGTACCATTCGTCCTTCTTCCGCTTCGTCTTTTGTCTCCTTCGTCGTCCGGCAGTTTCGTCCTTGGTACTTCATCCATTCCGTTCTGTTTGTTTTTCGTGTCCTTTGTTCTCTTTGTTCATCGTCTTTCGCGTCCTTCGTGTCCCTCGTCCTTCGTGTCCTTCGTCCTCCGTGTCCTTCGTCCTTCGTGTCCATCGTTCTTCGTCCTTTGTAATCCTTCGAACTCTTCGTCCTCCGTGTAATTCGTCTCCTTCGTTCTTCGTTTTTCATCCCCTTCAACCTTTGTACTTCGTGTCCTTTAGTCTCCTTCGTCCTTCACATCCTTTAGTCTCCTTCGTTCTTCATGTCTTTAGTCTCCTTCGTCCTTCGTGTCATGAGCCCCTCATGTTCTTCGTCCTTCGTATCTTTCGTATCCTTCGTCCTTCGTTTGTATTGGTTTTTATTCGTTTCGTCCTTCGTCTCCTTCAATGTTCGTCCCTATCGACCTTTGTATTTCTTCGACATCTTCGTCCTTAGTGTCCTTCTTCCTTCGTGTCCTTCGTTCTTCATCCCCTTCGTCCACTGTCCTTCGTGTCCTTTAGTCTCTTTCGTCCTTCTTGCCCTTAGTTCTTCGAGTCTTTCGTCCTTCGTGTTTTTCGCCCTTCGTCTCCTTCGTACTTCGTGTCCTTCGTACTTCGTCTCCTTCGTACTTCGTGTCCTTCGTCCTTCATGTCCTTCGTCCTTCGTGCTCTTTGCCTTTCGTGTCCCTCGTCTTTTGTATCATTCGTACCCTTCGCCCTTCGTGTTCTTTGCTTTTCGTGTCCCTCGTCCTTCGTATCTTTCGTATCCTTCGTCCTTCGTCTGTATTGTCTTTTATCCTTTCGTTCGATATTCGTGTCCTTCGTCCTTAGTGTACTGTGTCCTTAGAGTACTGTGTCCTTAGAGTACTGTGTCCTTAGAATACTGCGTGCTTTGTGTCCTTCGTCCTTAGTGTCCTTCGTCCTTCGTCCTTCTAGCCCTTGGTCCTCCGTGTCCTTCGTCCTTTGTGTCCTTCGTGTCCTTCGTCCTTTGTATTCCTTCGAAATCTTCGTCCTCCGTGTAATTCGTCTCCTTCGTTCTTTGTTTTTCATCCCTTTCAACCTTTGTCCTTCCTGTCGTTTAGGATATGAACCTTTAGTCTCCTTCGTCCTTCATGTCTCCTTCGTCCTTCGTGTCCTTCGTCCTCTTTGTTCTTCGTCCTTCATCTTCTTCGTTCTCTGTCCTTTGTGTCCTTTCGTCTCCTTCGTCCTTCGTGTCCTTTATCCTTCGTCTCCTTCGTCCTCCGTGTCCATCGTCCTTTGTATTCCTTCGACTTCTTCGATCCTCGTGTCCTTCGTTTCCTTCGTTCTTCGTCCTTCATTTCCATCACCCTTTGTCCTTCGTGTCCTTTAGTCTCTTTCGTTCTTCATGTCTTTAGTCTTCTGCGTCCTTCTTGTCCTTAGCCCCTCGTGTCCTTCGTCCTTCGCATCTCTCGTCTCCTTCGTCATTCAACCCCTTCGTCATTCAACCCTTTCGTGCTTCGTTCTTGATCCTTTGTTTTTTGTCCCTTTCGTTCTTCGTCAGATTTGTCCGCTTCGTCCTGCATTGTTTCTTTGTCCTTTTTGTCTTTCGTGTTTCATCCTTCTCTCTTCCTTCAATTCGTTTTTCTTAATTCACCCCTCGTATTTCGTTCTCCATCATTTGTCAAGTTCGTCCTTCGTCCCCATTGTCCTTGGTCCTCTTCATCTCCTTTAGCCTTCGTCAGTATCGTTCTTAGTACTTCGTTTTTTTCATATTGCGTGTCCATCGTTCTCTCCGTTCATCGCCCTTTGTCCTTCGTAAACTTCGTGTCCTTCGATTTCGTCTGCATGTCTTTCATCCGTTTCGTCCTTCGTCTCCTTCGTAATTCATGTCCTTCGTCCCCCGTCTTCTGTGACCTTTATTCTCTACGTTATCCTTTGGTCCCCTTTGTTCTTTGGGTCCTTCTTCCCTTTTTTTTGCACGAATTTTCCCCTTTGTCGTTCGTGTTTTTAGTCCCCTTCGTTCTTTGTGTCCTTCGTCCCTTTCTTCTTTCGTCCGATTTGTCCCCTTCGTATTTCCACCTCTTCGTCTTTCGTTTTGGGTCCTTCGTTCTCTGTTTTTGGTTCTTTTGTATGCTTCGTCCAAATAGTCTTTCCTCCTTCACTCTTACTTCAATTGGTTCATCGTAATTCGTCCCTTCGTATCCTTCGTGTCCTTCGTCTTCTCCACCATTCGCTTGCTTTGTTTTTCTGCTTCGTCCTTCGTCTCCTTCGTTTTTCCTATTCCTTTGGCCACTTCGTTCTCCGTGTCCTTCGTCCCCTTCGTTCTTCATCCTTCGTCCTTCGTCCTTCGCCTCTTTGGTCCTTCATGTCTTTAGTCTCCTTCGTCCTTCGTGTCCTTCGTCCCTTCGTCCTTCGTCCCTTCGTCTTTCGTCTCCTTCGAAATTCGTGTCCGTCGTCCTCCCGTCTTCCGTCTCCTTTGTGTTCTTCGTTTTCCGTCCTTCGTGTCTTTCGTTCTCCCCGTTCTTTATGTCCTTTGTCTCCTTTTTTAGGACGATTTTTCTCCTTCGTCCTACGTGTCTTTACTCCCCTTCGTCTCTTTCGTCCTTCCTGTCTTCCGTTCCCCTGTCCCACGTGCCCTTCGTCCTTTTTTTCTTCGTTCTTCGTGTCCTTCGTCATTCGCTTGCTTCGTTTTTCCGCTTCGTTCTTTGTATTCCTTTGACTACTTCGTTCTCCGTGTCCTTCGTCCCCTTCGTTCTTCGTGTCCTTCGTCCCTTCGTCCTTCGTCTCCTTCGAAATTTGTGTCCTTCGTCCACTCGTTCTGCGTCTTCTTTGTCCTCTTCGTTTTCCATCCTTCGTGTCTTTCGTTCCCTCCATTCTTTATGTCCTTCGTCCCTTTTTTTCGTTGAATTTTTCTCTTTCGTCCTTCGTGTCTTTAGTCCCCTTAGTCCTTTGTGTCCTTCGTCTCTTTCGTCCATCCTGTCTTCTGTCCCCCTCTCCCCCGTGTCCTTCGTCCCTTTCTTCTTTGGCCCGATTTGTTCCGTTTGTCCTTCGACACCTTCATCCCCCGGTTTGGTTTTTCGTTCTTTGTCCCTTTCGACTTCCCCCGTTTTTGCTCCTTTTATCCGTTTCGTCCAATTTTTTCGTTTCGTTCTTCGTCACCTTTGCCCATTCGTCCTCCTTCACACTTTATTCGTTCGTCCTGCAAGCCCTTCATCCTTCGTCAACCTCGTCCTTCGTCCCCTTCGTCCTTGTTCCTCAAGTTCCCTTTGCCCTTTGTCCCTTTCGACCTTCGCTCATTTCGTCATCATTTTCGTACTCTTCGTTCATCGCCTTTCTTGTTCTTCGCCATTCGTATCCTTCGTATCCTTCGTGTCCTTCGTCCCTCGTCTGCTTTGTTTTGCATCCGATTCGCCCTTCGTCTCCTTTGTTATTTGTCCCTTTCGCCTTTTGTACTCCATCGGCTTCTTCATTCTCCGTGTTCTTTGTCCCCTTCGTCCTCCGTTCTTGATCCTTTCGTTCGCTTTGTCCGATTTGCTCGCTTAGTCCTCCGTGGCCTTCGTCCCCTTCGTTCTTCGTCCTCCATACCCTTCACCCTGTCCTTCGTGTCCTTCATCCTTCGTGTCCTTCGTCTTTAGAGTCCTTCGTCCTTCGTGTTTTTCATTCTTCGTGTCCTTCGCCTTTGTTGTCTTTCGTCCTTCGTATCCTTCGTCCTTCGTGTTCGTCGACCTTAGTGTTCTGCGTCCTTCGTGTACTTCATCCTTAGAGTCCTTCGTCCTTGGTTCTTCTTGCCCTTGGTCTTTCATATCCTTCGTCCTCTGTGACCTTCGTCCTTCGCGTCTTTCGTTCTCCGTGTCCTTCGTCCTCCGTTTTCTTCATCTTTCGTCCTTTGTATTCCTTCGACTTTTTCGTCATCCGTGTCCTTCGTCCCCTTTGTTCTTCGTCCATTATCCCTTTCGCACTTTGCCCTTCGTGTTTTAGTCTCCTTCGTCCTTCGTGTCCTTAGCCCCTCGTGTCCTTCGTCATTCTTATCTTTCGTATTCTTCGCCCTTCGTCTGTATTTTATCCCTTTCGTTCTTTCGTTTCCTTCATTGTTCGTCCCCTTCGTCCTTTGTATTCTTTCGACTTCTTCGTCCTCCGTGTCCTTCGTCCCCTTCGTCCTTCGTCCTTCATCCCCTTCGCCCACGGTCCTTCGTGTCCTTTAATCTCCTTCGTCCTTCGTATCTTTGGTCTACTTCTTCCTTCGCGTCTTTAGTATACGTGTCCTTCCTGTCCTTCGTGTCCTTCGTCCTTCATGTCCTTCGCCGTTCGTGTTCTTCGCTTTTCGTGTCCCTCGTCCTTCGTATCTTTCGTATCCTTCGTCCTTCGTCTATATTGTCTTTTAGCCGTTTCGTCCTTCGTCTCCTTTCTTCTACGTCTCCTTCGTTCTTCGTCCTTCATCCCCTTCGCCCTGTCCTTCGTGTCATTTAGCTTCTTTCGTTCTTCGTGTTTTTAGTCTCCTTCGTCCTTCGCGTCCTTCGTGTCCTTCGTCTTTAGACTCCTTCGTGTCCTTCGCCTTTGGTGTCTTTCGTCCTTCGTACCCCCGATTTGTCCTCTTCGTCCTCGAAAGGACACGAAGAACACGAAGGATGATGGAGACGAAGGACACGAAGGACGAAGAAAACTAAAGACACGAAGGACGAAGGAAACCAAAGACACCAAGGACGAAAGAGACTAAAGGAGATGAAGAACAGATGGCAAAGGGGATGAAGGACGAAGAACAAAGGGGACGAACGATACGGAGGACGAAGAAGTCGAAGGAATACACAGGACGAACGGGATGAACAATGAAGGAGAGGAAGGACGAAACGGATGAAAAATAATACAGACGAAGGACGAAGGATACGAAAGATACGACGGACGAAAGACACGAGGGGCTAAGGACATGAAGGACGAAGGAGACTAAAGACATGAAGGACGAAGGAGACTAAAGGACACGATGGTCAAAGGGCAAAGGGGATGAAGGACGAAGAACGAAAGGGACGAATTACATAGAGGACGAAGAAGTCGAAGGAATACAAAGGACGAAAGACACAGAGGACGAAGGACACGGAGGACGAAGGACACGGAGTACGAAGGACACGGAGTACGAAGGACACGGAGAACGAAGGACACGAAAGACGAAGGATACGGAGGACTAAGGGGAAGAAGAACGAAGGACACGAAGGAAGAAGGACACTAAGGACGAAGGATGAAAAACACGAAGGACGAAGGAGACTAAAGGACACGAAGGACCGTGGGCGATGGGGATGAAGGACGAAGAACGTAGGGGAAGAAGGACACGGAGGACGAAGAAGTCGAAGGAATACAAAGGACGAAAGACCCAGAAGACGGAGGATGAAGGACATGGAGAACGAAGGACACGAAGGACGAAGGACACAAACGACGAAGGATACGAAAGACAAAGGGCAAGAAGGAGGAAGGGGAAGAAGGACGAAGGATGAAGTACGAACGACACGAAGGATCAAGGACACGATAGACGAAGGACACCAAAGGCGAAGGACGCGATGGATGAAAAATACGGAGGACGAAGGACTCAAAAGACGAAGGACACGAAGGACACGAAGGACGAAGGCACCCTTTCGCTCTTAGTCCTTCGTCCCCATGTCCTTCGTCCTTCTAGGATCTTGAGCAAAAATCTCGGGACCCCTTTTGTTTTATTTTTTGAAGTAGTTTGAAAGAATCTCAGGGGCCCCCTGTATTTTGTTTTTGAAGTAATTTGAAGGAGTTTCGGAGATCTCTAGTCTTGTTTTTGAAGTATTAAAACTTTCGGAAAACTTCTCTCGAAATAACCTTCGACCAATTTTTTTCTCATTGTTGTTTTAAACACACATCTGACCTTGTAGTGGCCAGCATTCAGGCAGGATTTCTATAATTTCGAACACCAAATAAACAAGTATCTTCTATACTTACAAGAAAATTGAAAATTTACTCAATGCGAAAAAAATCAGTTACATTTTCCTTATCTACCTCAACCGGTTATGTACATTTTTCTGTGACAAAGACAAAACCCTGACCCTTGTACAAATATTGACTCAATTTCGTTCCACTTCGCTGGATATAATTAACTCATCAGTTAAAATCTGACACAATAAAACTAAATTATCCCACGTAACCCTTGCTGCTCACAATAATCCTTCCATCCTGACACGCTTATCGAAAAATTCATCATCAGGTATTAAGATTACGCCGCCAAATGCACTTGACGGAAAACCAACAAGCTCACATCTGCTTCCATTCGATTTTCCAAAATTACCATCGGTGACGTCGTCTTTAAAAACGTCGAATTCAATTATGCACGTGCCAAAATCAAGAATAACCGCAAACAAAAAGTGTTTTTTCAGCTGCCGGCAGTCGTCCCGAGTTTTCCATCCTTGCAATAATTTGTTTTTGCGGGGTCTATTTTTAGACGGCGGAATTTTCATTTATGGAGCGAAGTTAGCTGGACTCGTTATGGGTTTATGGAAGCGTTTGTTGACAGGTCGGCGATAATTCACGATAGTAAAACGCGTTGTAAATTGCGAGTGAATATTTTTAGAAATGCATAACACGGGAAAATTATTGCTGATTAACAAACACATTGCCCGTCTGGTCAGCTTCACCGGCCGGATTTATGGCCAATCGGTTTCTAATAGACAACTGCGTTGTGGCGATATTTTCTGGGTTGTAATTTTTGAGACTTTTTTTCGTCAAAGCGTAATTCCTCTGTTTCATATTTCAGGCGAAACGTTCAGGAATATTTAACTTTATGTTTCATATTCCCTGCGTAATTTAGCCGTTCTCCGAGTCGGCTATTTTTCCACGCACTTTGTAACTTCAGGAAAGTGAACTTTCCGGGTCTCCGTCAATGGTTAGACGGTGAGCAATCGATCACAATCAAACGCCGTCCATACAATGTTGGGTCACGTGGAAAAATATCGTAATTCAATGTTAATAGCGTCATTAGGTGACCTTTCATGATAAATAAAAAATTCAAAGTCTCGGTAGAATAATAATAGTAATTACTTTTCATAAAGCGATTGTGTAGGAACTGCGAAGAGTTTTTGTGGATTATTTCGTACAAAGGAAATTCTCATTAGGAGGTAGGGTTATGTACTGTTGAATTATTAATGATGACTGTTAACATTGGTCACGGCTGTTTAGCCTGATTGGAAGTGATGTTTTTTGCGATTGGTTAAACCGGACGAATGTGTGTATTTTGCTGATTTTAAGACGATTCTTGTCTGAAATTAATGTTGGATCGAGGCATCCTTGGAGACGACGCACGTCGGTGATTAAACCAATTTTTAAACAGATTAGATAAAATAACTCTGAATTTGCAAAGAAAATTAATTAATTTAGTTAAAAAAAATCGTCTAGGAATTTATTAGTCACACTCAACGGTGATCTGATGCTTGTCAGTCAGGTCAGGTCAGCTCAAATCAGGTCAGATCAGGCCAGGTCTGGTCTGGTCAGGTCAACTTCGCTGAATTTGCTTCCCACACATTTCTATGAAAATAAAGCTGAAACAAAGAATTTTAAAATACGAGCGCAGCGAGCACTTTCAGGTTTAGGTTACAAACGTTCTGAACGTGCACTAAATTAATTAAAAAAAAGACAATCAATATTTCCTTATACAAATTTGTCATTTTAAACATGTCTTAAGTTTCATGTTGTGAAAAAAATTCTATACATTATAAAACAAAAAGGCAAAATATAAACCCCGCCCACCAAACCCTGTCTCAATTGTGAAGATTTTGCAGTTAAGCTCCGCCTTCTTGGTTAACGACGAATAGAAAAATCATCACAATTGAGATGGGGCGGGTGGGCGGGCTTAAGTTTTGCCTTAAACAATTTATAACATTCTGGACATTTCCAGTGTTTTTTTAAGCACTTAATGTCGGAAGGTCCTACTGTTCTATTTTTGAAAGAATTTGAAAAGATCTTGAGGACTTCTATTTTTTTAATTTCAAAGAATCTGCTGCTTTAAAAAAAAAAATTTTAGAAAATCTTTCGGGCTCTTAATAGATTTTTTAAGTATTTAACAGAATATCGGGAACCACTAGTGTTTTTTCTGAAAAAGTTTGAAAAAATCGCGGAAATAACAGTGGTTCTTTTTTATTTTGAAGGAACTTGAATAATTTTAAAGAAACAAGAGAATTTATAGTGATTTTTTTAATTTGAAAAAATTTAAAAGAATCGTCGCAGTCCCTAGTGTTTTTTTTTGTGAAAGAATTTGAAAACATTCCGTGGTGTTTCTTTTAATTTTGAAAGAATTTAGAACTTCAGAAGCATCTGGTGTTTTTTTATGAATTTAAAAGAATCTCGGGGATCCTTGGTGTTTTTAGTAAGAAGTGATAAGAACTTCTTACCTTTATTTTTTTTTTGAAAGAATTTTAAAATAATTTTGAGTGGTTGTAGTGGTTTTTTTTTTTTTTTAATTTAAAATATCTCAGTAGCCTCTTGTGTTTAACAAGGATTTAAAAGATTTTCGGGGATTCCAAGAATTTTTTTGGGAATTAATAAATATCTAGCGAATCTAGTGTGTTTTTGTAAGAAATATTTAAATTTTCGCTTTTTCGATTTCTCAATTTCTCGATTATTTGATTTTTTGGTTTTCAACTCTTGGTTCCTCGATTTTTCGATTTTTGAGTTTTTCAGTTTTTCGATTTTTCAGGTTTTCGATATTTCACTTTGGGATTTTTCATTTAGATTCTTCAATTGTTCGACTTTTTATGTTTCGATTTCTCGATTCCTTGAAAAATGATAAAATTTAATTTTGCGAATTTAATTTTTATGACAACCTCATTGGTAACATGGACGAAAGGTACGTAGGAGGAAGGGGACGATGGACGAAGGGGACAAAGGACGAAGGGGCAAAGGACGTACGCCAAAGAGAACAAAGGACGAAAAAGACGCAGGACAAAATACGAAGGACGAAGGACAAATTACGACGAAGGGGACGACAGGGACGAAAGACGAACGGGTCGAAAAACAAAAGGGACGAAGAGGACTAAAAGAACGAAGAGGACGAAAATTTCGAAGGATACGAATGACTGAAAGGACGAAGGAGGAGAGGGACGAATGATGCGAAAGACGCAAGGGACTAAGAACAAAAAAAGAAATGGATGAAAGACACAAAGAACGAAGGGAACGAAGGACACGAATAAGACGAAGAAGAATAAGGACGAAGGGAATAAAGGTTACGAAAGACGAAAAAGACTGAAGACACGAAAAATGAAGAGGGTTAAAGAACGAAAGGGACGAAGGACACGGAGGACGAAAAGGTCGGAGGAGTACAAGGGACGAAGAAGTTCGAAGAGGACGAAGAACAAAGGACACGAATGATGAAGGGACGAAGGACACGAAGAACACGAAAGATGAAGGGCACGGAGGACGATGAACGAAGAGAACCGAGGACACAGAAGACGAAAAGAATGAAGGGAAGGAAAGACGAAAGGAACGAAATAAGATGGGGCCGAAAAAGGGAGAGGACGAAGGATGAATGAGACGAAGGACACAAGACAAAAGGGACGAAGGGTAAAGAACAAACGGTACGAATGACCAAAAGGACGAAGGACTATAGGAACAAAGGTTGCGAAGGACAAAGTGGACTGAGGGCAGAGGCACCGAAAGAGACGAATAAGACGAAGGAGAAGAAGGACTAAGGGAATAAAGGTCACGAAAGACGAAAAAGACTGAAGACACCAAAAGATGAAGAAGGTTAAGGACGAAAGATACGGAGGACGAAAAGGTCGAAGGGGTACAAGGGACGAAGAAGCTCGAAGAGGACGAAGAATAAAGGACACGAATGATGAAGGGACGAAGGACACGAAGAACACGAAAGATGAAGGGCACGAAGGACGATGAACGAAGAGAACGAAGGACACAGAAGACGAAAAGAATGAAAGGAAGGAAAGACAAAAGGAACGAAATAAGATGGGGGCGAAAAAGGAAAGGGACGAAGGATGAAGGGAACGAAGAACAAAAGACAAAAGGGACGTAGAGCAAAGGACAAACGAGACGAAAGCCGGAGAACGAAGGGAACGAAGGACGAAGAATCAAGTGTGAAGGGCAATGGACGAAGGAGACGAAGAACGAAGGTTACGAAGGGGACGACAGTGACGAAAAACGAACGGGTCGAAAAACAAAGGGGACGAGGGGGACTAAAAGGACGAAAAGGACGAAAGTTTAGAAGGATACGAATGACCAAAAGGACGAAGGACGAGAGGAACGAAGGATACGAAGGACGCAGGGGACTAAGAACAAAAAAAACAAATGGATGAAGGACACAAAGAACGAAGGGAACGAAGTATACGAATAAGATGAACGAGAAGAAGGACGAAGGGAATAAAGGTCACGAAAGACGAAAAATACTGAAGACACGAAAGTTGAAGAAGGTTATGGACGAAGGATACGAAAGTGGAAGACCGAAGTGGACGAAGGACACGGAGGACGAAAAGGTCTTAGGGACGAAGAAGCTTGAAGAGGACGAAGAACAAAGGGCACGAATGATGAAGGGACGAAGGACGCGAAGAACACGAAAGATGAAGGGCACGAAGGACGATGAACGAAGAGAACGAAGGACACAGAAGACGAAAAGAATGAAGGGAAGGAAAGACAAAAAGAACAAAATAAGATGGATGCGAAAAAGGAAGGGGCGAAGGATGAAGGGGACGAAGGACAAAAGACAAAAGGGACGTAGGGCAAACGGGACCAAAGCCGAAGAACGAAGGGAACGAAGGACGAAGAACCAAGTGTGAAGGGCGATGGACGATGGAGACGAAGAACGAATGTTGCGAAGGGGACGACAGGGACGAACGACGAACGGGTCGAAAAACAAAGGGCACGAAGAGGACGAAAATTTCGAAGGATACGAAAGACCAAAAGGACGAAGGACGAGAGGAACAAAGGATGCGAAGAACGCAGCGGACTAAAAACAAAAAAAAACAAATGGATGAAGGACACGAAGGACACAGAAGACGAAAAGAATGAAGGGAAGGAAAGACAAAAGGAACGAAATAAGATAGGGGCGCAAAAAGAAGGGGACGAACTATAGTAATCGAGTCCATCTGTCGAATTGCCACTTTCATGACATGTCATGACCTCTAGAGTACGAAACAAGTGGTCTGTCATCTCTGTCTGTCTGTCCGTTCGTCTGTCTGTCTGTCTGTCTGTCCGTTCGTCTGTCTCTCTGTCTGTCTGTCTATCTGTCTCTCTGTCTGTCTGCCTGTCTGTCTGTTTGTGTGGTGTCTGTATCCATTTTTATTAGACACGTAATCTCCGAAACTACTGGACCGATTGTTATCAAAGTCGAAAAATTAAAAATTTGGGAATTCGAAAAATAGGGAAATCATGAATTCGAGAAATGTAGAAATCGGAAAACTGGAATTCAAGAACTCAAAAAATTGAACCATCGAAACACTTAAAAATTGAAAAATCAATATATCGAAAATCGAAAAATCGAAAAATCCAAAAATCGGGAATCGAAAATCGTAAAATCGTACAATCGAAGACACGAAAATTTAAGAAATCAAAATTCGAAAAATAAAAATGAAAATTGAAAAAATCTAAAAATAGAGAAATGTAGAAATCGAGAAAATTGGAATTCGAGTACTCAAAAACTTGAACCATGGAAAAATTAAAAATGAAAAAATCGAAATACCAAAAATCAAAAAATCGAAAAACCCAAAAATCGGATATCCTAAATAGAAAAATCGTATATTCGAAAAAACGAAAATTTGAGAACTAAAAATTCGAAAAATCAAAATGAAAATTCAAAAAATCGAAAAATAGAGAAATCGAGGAGAAATCGAGAAATTGAAAAATTATAAATTTGGGAATTCGAAAATCGGGAAATCGTGATTTCGAGAAATGTACAAATCGAGAAAACTAGAAGTTGAACTGAAAAATAGAAAAATCGATATATCGAAAAATCAAAAAATCGGGGTTCGGAAATCGAAAAATCGTCTAATCGAAAAAACGGAAATTTGAAAACTAAAAATTCGATAAATCAGAACAAAAATTCATAAAATCGAAAAATAGAGAAATCGAGAAATGTAAAAAAATTTAACCATTGAAAAACTGAAAAATGGAAAAATCGAAAATTGAAAAGCTGAAAAATCCAAAAATCGGGGACCGAAAATCAAAAATCTAAAAATAGAGAAATCGAAAAATTGAAAATAGAGAAATTGAAAAATGATAATATTGGGAATTCGAAAAATGGGGAAATCATGTTGTATTCGAGAATGTAGAAATGGGGAAAACTAGAATTCGAGAACTCAAAAAATTGTACCATCGAAAACTCAAAAATCGAAATATCGAAAATCAAAAAAATCGAAAAATCGTACAACCGAAGAAACGAAAATTTGGAAACCAGAAATTTGAAAAATCAAAATGAATATTCAAAAAATCGAAAAATAGGAAAATCTAGAAATTGAAAATCGGGAAATCGTGAAATCAAGAAAACTATAGTTTTTATTGGAGAACTCAAAAAATTGAACCATCGAAAAACTGAAAAATGGAAATATCGAAAATCAAAAAATCGAAAAATCAAAGACCGAAAATCGAAAATCGTACAATCGACAAATCGAAAATTTGAGAACTAAAAATTCGAAAAATCAAAATTCAAATTAAAAAAATCGAAAAATACAGAAATTGAGAAATTGCAAAATTGGGAATTCGAAAAATCGGGAAATCGTGAAATCGAGAAATGCAGAAATCCAGAAAACTAGAATTCGAGAATTCTTGACAATGGAAAATATGAAAGTCGCATAAACGAAAGAACGAAAATTTGAGAACACAAAATTCGAAAAATCAAAATGAAAATTCAGGAAATCGAGAATAAAGAAATCGAGAAATTGAAAATAGAGAAATCAAAAAATTAAAAATTGTAAATTCGAAAAATCGGGAAATTGTGAAATCGAGAAAACTAAAATTCGAGAATTCAAAAAAAATTGAAGCATGGAAAAACTGAAAATTCGAAATACGGAAAAAACAAAAATTTGAGAACTAAAACTTCAAAACATTGAAATGAAAATTAAAAAAATTGAAAAATAGAGAAATCTAGAAATCTTGAAACTGCAACTTAGGAAAATCATGTAAATGGTTAAACGCTAACTAAATTTGGCTAATCATCCCCACCACCAATAAGATGACGTCATCTCCAAAATTCTCATTTTTCAGGATCATTTAAATCACGTGAAAAGACGCATTTATTTGAAACTTTATATAACGTAGTTCCTGATTTAAAAAATCTTCTTATGTTCCTTGCTTATTATTTATTCCCAAACATCGCCCCCCTCTTCAGAAAGACAAATGGGTTACGTTCCTCAAAGTGAAATATCACGTACAACATTTAATAAAGCATCCAACACATCAAAAAGAATATAAGGAAAAATTTCCCTCTTTCATTAAGATTCATAAAACCTCTACAGGTATCCAATTTCCTGCATGCAATCATTCCGTGGCGCAATTTCCTTCCTCTTGCAGAAGAATAAAAGTCGTTTTTTCAGATAATTTTTCGCCAAGATCGCGGAAAAATTAAGTTCCTTGATTAAAAATAGGTCTACCTATAAAAATGCACAAAACAGTTTTTATAGTGGGCTAGGAAATTTATTAATAAAACGATGATTGTAGCTTTATTTGACAGTTATTTGACCGTAACTGTCAAACTAAAAAAGCTTGCCAACATATTTTTTTTAACATTAAATTCCAAAGCTTGCAAAATCGCTACAAAGTGGCCAAACCGCACCAGAATCTGCAATTTTTTAACGACCTCCATAAAACCACTTCTAGTGCACAACCTGAAAAAATCCTCCACCTGTTCGTCCTCGCAGCGCGCGCGTTCGCATTCTTGAGCGCACACTGAGCGCTCTTCGCTCCAGTCCTGCAAGCGCACCGCTTGTAGCAGCAGGAATCCGCGCCGCGATCCTGCCATGTCCTGCAAACTCTCGCGATCAGTTCGGTTCGGGTAAGTCGCAACAATGAGTGAGCTCGGGGGAAACCCCAACAACACGAGCCAGTGCAGCGAGGAGTTCCTGGGTCCCCAGAGAGACAGCCTCTACATCGTCGTCCCCATCATCGTCGTCTACGTGGTGATCTTCCTCACGGGCACCATCGGCAACATCAGCACCTGCATCGTGATCGCGCGGAACAAGTCCATGCACACCGCCACCAACTACTACCTGTTCAGCCTGGCCATCTCCGACCTGCTGTTGCTGGTGTCGGGCCTGCCCCAGGAGATCTACCTGATCTACTCGCGCTACCCCTACGTGTTCGGGAGCACGTTCTGCTTCCTGCGGGGGATGTTCGCGGAGACCTCCGCCAACGCCACGGTGCTGACGATCACCGCCTTCACCGTCGAGCGGTACCTGGCGATTTGCCACCCCTTCTTGTCGCACACGCTGTCGAAGCTGTCCAGGGCGGTGAAGCTCATCCTGGTGATCTGGCTGGTGGCGGTGGGGTCGGCGGTGCCGCAGGCCATGCAGTTCCAGCTGGTGGGACCCCCGGATTGTGAGCTGTGCCTTTTTGCCGAACCCATCATCGAACACTCGTTTGAAGTGTCCACGTTGTTGTTCTTCGTCCTGCCGATGAGTTTGATTACGGTGCTGTATGTGCTGATCGGGCAGAAGCTGAAGAGTTCGACGATGATGAAGAAGAGGAATGTGCTGGGGAACACGAACGCGAGGGGGCAGAGCAGGTCGTCGAGGAAGGTGGTGAAGATGCTGGGTGAGTTTCAAGGTTCTGTGGTTACTTTCAAGTTTTGCTGGTTATTCTCGATTAAACTAATTGTTGTAATACTCTTATTTTCGATACTTTTATTTTTAAAATGTCAGGCTTATGCATTTACAAGGTTGTCTAGGATTGAGAAAAAGTTGGGTTTTACTTTAAAAAATCAACAATGATGTGAATGCGCAAGAATGGTGATAAAAACTCGATTTAAATTTTTGCTGATGTATTGGGATTTTTCATTGGGAAATGGTTTGATTCTAATATTAGACTTCCGTTTTTAAAGTTTCTATAAAAAATACACTTTGTTATTATACTTTTGATTTCGCTTTAAATCGTACAAGAAGAAGTTTACCTTTTTTCTGCGAAGCCTTATGAACAAGAAATAGCCCCGCCCACCCACCCCTCTCTTAATTTTAATAACTTCCCTTAATATTATGAATTAATGACATTATTATCTTATTAGAACCTCCCCTACATCCGTTTAACCGTTGGTGAGAAAATCGATAAATTGTAAATAATATATCTAGAAAGCATTCAGCTGGTGTTAAATAAGCATCCCATACATGAAAATTATATTTACAAAGTAATATTAATCATACTCCGCCCACTCACACGAACTCCACGTTAATAAATCATTTCATTGGCCCAGAGAAGAGAGGCGGTGTTTCTAATTGTAGCATGTTTTGTCTAATTTACATAATTTTTGAATATTTCTGTATAAACGCTAATGATAAAGTCGTTTTTCGAATAAAAATTAAAATTTCATAACAATCAATAAAATAAAAAAATCGATCAGTATAAAATTAAACTCCCGTCTCAGAGCCAATAAAATGAACGATCAAAAGGGAGTAGGGGTGGGTGGGTGGGGCCACTTGTTTTAAATCTTAGATTCTACCTCTTGTCAAATCTAAATTCAATTCCCTCTATTTTATATGATTTTTAAGTATTTTTATGTAAACGCTGACGGCAAAGTCGGTTTCGAATAAAAATCAAAATTTTAATTAAAATATCACGTCCTAAATTCTACTATTTGTCAATGTAAACTCTTACTTTCTTCTCATAACCAATAAAATTAATTATCAAAACGAAGGACTGGTGGGTGGGTGGGGCCATTTTTTATTTTGATTTAAATCTTATGTTCTTCCGCTTGTCAAATCAAAATTGTAATCTTTTTAACAGTAAATAAAATTAGTCAGTAAAACAGAAGAAGGAGGTGGGCGGAGCTAAGTTTAACATTTTACCACAGTCTTGTAAGCAAGTAATAGCTCCGCCCACCCACCCCCCTCTTGATTTTAGGATTCATTTTAATGTTTTTAACTAAGGACAACATTATTATATTATTGAATCTCGGGTAATTCTGTTAAACTCTTTATAAGAAAATTGATAAATTGTAAATAGAATACCAAGAAGTTATAATATATAATACTAATCATAAATATTACTAATGCTCCTCCCACTTGTAGAAGTTCCACCTTAATAAATCATTCCATTGGTCGAAGAATTGGGGCGGCGTTTCCAATTGTAGCTCATTGTGTCTATTTTATCTGATGTTTAAACATTTTGATGTGAACGCTGATGGTAAAGTCGTTTTTCGAAGAAAAATCAAGGTTTTATAAAGAAAATCAAGTCCTAAATTCCTCGTAAAATCAGCTTTCTCCTCAGAACCAATAAAATTATCAAAAGGAGGGGTGGGTGGGTGGGGCCACGTTTTATTTTGATTCAAATTTTAGATTCTAGCGCTTGTCAAATCAAAATTCAAATCCTTTTAAAAATAAATAAAATATGTCAGTGACATGGAGGTAGGAGGTGGGCGGAGCTAAATTCAGCTTTTTTCTAAAGTCTTATAAGCAAGTTATAGCCCCCCCAACTCATTCCCTCTCTTTTGATTCTAGTCACTACTATTAATATTGTTAACCAATGACAACATTATTATATTATTTAATCTGTTAAACTGTGAGAAGATATACCAGACGTGAGAATTATCTTTAGAAAACAGCATTACTGATGCTCCTCCTACTCGCACGAGCCCCGCCTTAATAATTCCTCATAATACCTCATTGTGGCTACTTTAAAGTGATTTTTAAGTATTTCTATATATATCCTGACGGCAAAGTCGTTTTTCGAATGAAAATTAAACTTTTATAAAAAAAAAATAGGACAAGATTAGCGGTTATTTGTCAATATATTTTCCAACTTACGTGTCAGAGCCAATAAAATGAGTCATCATAATGGAGTAGGGGTGGGTGGGTGGGGTCAGTTTTGACTTTGAGTTAAATCTGACATTCTGCCGTTTGTCAAACCAAAATTCAGTTCCTGTAGAAATAAAATATGTTAGTAAAACTGAGCAAGGAGGTGGGCGGAGCTAAGTTTACCCTTATATTATCACAGTCTAATGAGCAAGCAATAACCCCGCCCACCCACCCCTCTGTTGATTCTAGTGACCTCTCTTAATATTGTCAATTAATGACAACATTATTAGAATCTTACACAAATTTGTCAAACCTTTGGGTGAGAAAATCGATAAATTGTAGATAAAGTATCTAAAAAGTATACAGCTGGAGTAAAACAAGTATAAGATCCGTGAGAATTATATTGGAAAACAATATTTCTGATGCTCCTCTTACTCTCACAAGCTCCACATTAATAAAACATTTTATTGGCCCGGAGAATAGGGGCGGCGTTACAGTTGTACCTTATTGTGTCTACTTTAAATTGATTTTTAAAAATTTGTATGCAAATCCGGACGGCACTCGTTATTGGAGCAAAAATTAAAATTTTATAAAAAAAAATTAGTACTAGATTCTGTCATTTGTTAATATAAAATCCAACTTATACTCAGAGCCAATGAAATGAGCATCAATATCGAGTACTGGTGGGTGGGTGGGGTCAGTTTTAACATATTGTTGAATCTCACATTTTGCCGTTTGTCAAACTAAAATTTTACTCCTGCAGAAATAAAATAGGTTGGCAAGAAGAAAGGAGGTGGGCGGAGCTAATTTTAGATTTGTATTTATAGAGACATAATAAACAAACAATAGCCCCGCCCACCTCTTAATTCTGTAATATCTTCTCTTAGTAATGTAATTAATAATCAATTCGGTTCAACTGTTGGTGAGAAAATAAAAAATGAATTATCAAAATAAGTAGGGGTGGGTGGGTGGCGCCACTTTTGACTTTGTTTTAAATCTTCCACCTCTTGTCGAATAAAAATTTAATTCCTTTTTACAGTAAGTAACATAAGTCAGTGAAATGAAGAAATGAGATGGGTGGAGCTAAGTTTAATTTTTTCCCATAGCGTCTTCTACGCAAATAATAGCCCCGCCCACCCACCCGCCTCTTGATTCTAGTAACTGCCCTTAATATTGTCAATTAATGACATTATTATCTTATTACAACCTCACCTACATCCGTTAAACCGCTGGTGAGAAAATCGATAAATTGTAAATAATATATCTAGAGAGTATTATATTTAAAAAAGTAATATTAATGATGCTCCGCCCACTCACACGAGCTCCACCTTAATAAATCATTTCATTGGCCCGGAGAAGAGAGGCGGTGTTTATAATTGTATCATGTGTCGTCTAATTTACATAATTTTTGAATATTTCTATATAAACGCTAATGATAAAGTTGTTTTTTGAATAAAAATTAAAATTTTGTAACAAGCAATAAAATGAATGATCAAAAAGGAGTAGGGGTGTGTGGGTGGGGCCACTTTTGATTTTGTTTTAAATCTTAGATTATACATACCTCTTGTCAAATCAAAATTCATTTCCGTTTTACAGTAACTAAAATATGTCATTGAAATGAAGATGGGTGGAGCTAAATAATAACCCCGCCCACCCACCCCTCTCTTGATTCTCGTGACTACTCTCAATAATGTTAATTAATGTCATTATTATCTTATAGAACCTCACCTACATCCGTTAAACCGTTGGTGATAAAAATCGATAAATTGTAAATAATTTATCTAGAAAGTATTCAGCTGGTGTTAAATAAGCATCCCATTTGTGAGAGTTATCTTTAAAACGTAAAACTAATTATGGTCCTCCCACTCGCTTAAGCTCCACCTTAATAAATCATTTCGTCTTTTGTCAATAAAAAATCCAACTTTCGTCTCAGAGCCAATAAAGTGAATTACCTAAACGGAATAGGGGTGGGTGGGTGGGGCTATTTTTGATTTTGCTTGAAATCATAGATTATACATCTTGTCAATTCAAGGTTCGATTCCTGTTAACAGTAAACAAAATAACTGAGTAAAATGGAGGCAGGAGGTGGGCGGAGTTAAGTTTAACTTTTTCTACAGAGTGTTATATTATAAGCAAGTAATAGTCCCGCCCACCCGCCTCCTCTTCTTTCTAGTGACTACTCTTATATTATTAACCAATGACAACATCATTTTATTATTGTATTTCAAGCAATTCTGTTAACCTCTGAAAAAATAGATACATAAACTGTAAATAAAGTATTCGGCTGGACGTAATAATTATATTTATGACGCAATATTACTGATGCTCCTCCCACTTGTACAAGCTCCACCTTAATAAATCGTTCCATTGGTTCGGAGAAGAAAGGCGGCGTTTACAGTTGAAATTCATTGTGTCTACTTTATATGATTTTTAAATATGTTTATGTAAATGCTGATGGCAAAGTCAGTTTCGAATAAAAATCAAAATTTTAATTAAAAGATTAAGTCCTAAATTCTATTATTTGTCAATGTAAACTCTTACTTTTTTCTCATAACCAATAAAATGAATTATCAAAACGAAGGAGGGGTGGGTGGGTGGAGCCAATTTTTTTTTATTTAAATCTTATGTTATATCGCTTGTCAAATCAAAATCCAAATCTTTTTAACAGTAAATAAAATTAGTTAGTGAAACGGAAGAAGGAGGTGGGCGGAGCTAAGTTTAGCATTTTCCACAGTCTTATAAGTAAGTAATAGCCCCGCCCACCCCCCCCTCTGGATTCTAGGATTAATTTTAATCTTGTTAACCAAT